CACTGTATGTCTGTAATTAGCTACATTGCTCAACGCTGCAAATAAATAGAAACCGATCTCCCAGAGTGCAAACCATAACACACTGGATAGTTTGCCAAATCTGCAATGAAATGCCATTATTACAGCTTTAACTGAGGGTGCTATTGATTTCGTTTGAGGGTGCTTAGCACCCTCTAGCACCGATGTAGTGCCGATGTAGTGCCGAATTCTGACCCCAGCCAGATTATTACCCCCCTAGTATTGGTAGGTTTAGAGTTAGGTGTGGGGGTGGGGTTAAGATTAGGCAATCAGGTAGCGATTTCAATGAGGGCTACAGATCTGGGTGTAGAAAAGGTACAGATCTGGGTGTAGAAAAGGTTTCAAAGCCATCTCTAAAGAGGTTGGACTCCACCAATCCACGGTCAGACAGATTGTGTACAAATGAAGGAAATTCAAGACCACTGTTACCCTCCCCAGGAGTGGTCCACCAAAAAAGAACACTCTAAAAGCAAGACGTGTAAAAGTCCACTAGGTTTCAACGGACTGCAGGCTAACTTCGAAGCAACTAAAGTCCTTACTCACATTGGCTAATGTTTATGAGCCCATCATCAAGAGAACACTTAACAACCATGGTGTCCATGGCAGAGTTGCAAGGAGAAAGCCACTGCTCTCCAAAAAGAACATTGCTGCCCATCTGCAGTTTGCTAAAGATCATGTGGACAAGCCAGAAGAATACTGGAGAAATGTTTTGTGGATGGATAAGACCAAAATAGAACATTTTGGTTTAAATGAGCAGCATTATGTTTGGAGAAAGGAAACACTGCATTCCAGCATAAGAACCTTATCCCATCTGTGAAACATGGTGGTGGTAGTATCATGGTTTGGTCCTGTTTTGGTGCATCTGGTCCAGGATGGCTTGCTCTCATTGATGGAACAATGAATTCTGAATAATACCAACACATTCTGAAGGAAAATGTCAGTACATCTGTCCGAGAACTGAATCTCAAGAGAAAGTGGGTCATGCAGCAAGAC